ATGCTTCCTCAAGTACAACTGACGAGGAGGATGCGGAAGAATTCTATCAGGAACTGGAATAGGCACTAGTCCCAAAGTCCACGCATGCCTCCGTCATGGAAGACTTTAATGCTAGGGTCGAACGAGGAAAGCCCTGTGTAGCACAACGTATAACATCATTTCTTTGAACCAACTCCTCTAGCACCCAAGGAAATTCTACCTCCCTCTGTGCATATCTTTCGTCGACTACTAGAAAGCGTTCGACACTGTCATGTACAACGCAGTCTGTACTGCATTGACAGAACAAGGCATCGACACCCGTTACATGAACCTGCTATAGCAAGCGGACTCTGGCTGCTTCACAAACATCACGCTGTTTGATACTCCGTCCGGATTCTCGTAGAGAATGGCGTGAAACAAGAGTTCATCATCTCTCCAAAGCTCTTCACATCCCGTTTGGAAATGGTGTTCCCGAGGATAAACTAAAAGGGTGGACTGACATCAACGGTGAGTGACTTAGTCCATCTAAAGTTCGCTGATGACGTAGTGTTGTTTTCGGAAAACACTGTCAGCTTCAGGATATGCTGCACGAGCTCGAGTGAAGCAGTGCAGAAATCGATCGAAGACAAAGATACTGCGATCTGATGCCCTGCCGAAGTTCCATATGATATTAAACGGCGAAAGATCGAAAAAGTTAATAGTAGATTTATCTGGGCCAGGAGATCAGTAAGCAGCATGATCAGGTTGGAGAGATTGAACAAAGAAAAAGGGCTGGTTATATCGCGCCTTACATTCCATCAAGGACGTCCTCCTCGGCAACATCAGGAAGGAAACCCGCGCCCACCTCTTCAGTTCCCTCGTCCTGTGGCATCGTTTCATGGCTGTGAGAAGTGGTCACCCGCTAAAGCCGATGAGCACCCGGTGTCTGTCACCAACAGAAAGCCATTGAAAGAAGAATGTTGGGAATTTCATGCCACACTGTGACCACATCCACAACATGGTGGTCAGACAGCAGATGGGAGTAAGGTACGTTGTCGTCGAAAGCAGATGGAAGAAGCTACATTGGGTCGGACACGTAGCTCGGCTCACCAACGGGAGATGACCGGCGTGGAATCTTCGCGGCGGACTAGGCTGCGTCGCTTACCACGACAGTGAGATTATATCAGGATCAGAGAAGGGCGTTCTGGAAGGAGAAGGCTCGAAACCGCAAGGAATGCCGACGAGTTCGCAGTTGGCGCGATTCGTCGCCGATTACCGGCCCAGTCAGTTGATCTAAGTGGCGACCATGTCTTTATATAATTTGTTATGGTCTTTCATGATCGACAAAATAAATTATTGTTCTTCATCTTCATCTTCCATCGCCGCTTCTCCTTTCGGGTCGCGGAGGCAGTCGCGTCAGACAGTGCTTCCAACGTTCCCGATCCTGTGCCAGAGTCTGAGCTTCGGCAAAAGACAAATG